CTGACGAATGGTGAATACATGGTTGATACAGCCACGACCAGGTCTGAAGCCAAACTGATTTTCTTGTGTTTGCAGTTCACGAGTCTTAGTTAGGCGCCCGATAATTATTGAGGCTAGTATTTTAGATGCTATGTTAGTCAGACTAATCCCTCTATGGTTATCGCAGGATGATATTGACCCCTTTTTATATATTGGGACAATAAGTGATTGTGACCAGTCAGATGGGATTACGTTCAACTCCAAGATTTTAGCTAAAATATTAGTCAAACTAATCGCCAAAACTGGATCACCATATTTAAAGACCTCTGGAGCCAATCCATCTGGACCAGCTGCTCTTCCTCGTTTAAGATTAACTATAGCTTTTTGAACCTGATTAGAGTCGAGGGATCTACTTCAATGTTTCATTCAAGTTGTTTGGGAATGATGAGTAACTGTAGAGTAGCTAAAGTGCAGCTATGCTGTTCTCTAAAGTGTTCCACCCATCGTTCTAAATGTCTGGGCTGAGAGCAGATAAGAGTCTCGTCTTTTTACGAGATTGTCTCGGAAGTTAATAATGGAGGGAACAAATGGTTTACTGATGTTCGTTAGGGTTGTGAATAAGGAATCCGAAAGATTTAGGCTTGAGTCACTGGCAGAAGACGAATTCAAGTTAATACACATTTGAATAAGAAGGGGTTTTGTGGAGATTTCAGTATTTTTCAAAGTTGAAATCATGAGACGACTGAAGCTAGACCACCATGGAAAACCTGGAAGCACTGGACTGCCGTTTCGTCCTATCGTGGGACTCCTGAGCAGTGCACATCCACGATCCCGCACTCGCGAGATTCGAACCAAGAATCTAACAGTCTCGAGCCAAAGCCCTTAACCGATAGGCCACTGAGACGGCATCCAACGGTGTTAATGTCTAACTTCAACCAATCCAGGTCCTGGGTTCGAATCTCGCGAGTGCGGGATCATGGATGCGCACTGCTAAAGAGTCCCATAATAGGACGAAACGGCCGTCCAGTGCTTCCAGGTTTCCCATGGTGGTCTAGCTTCAATCGACTCATGATTTCAACTTTGAATAATACACATTTGTTTGTATTTATCCACATTCGCAGATATAATAACGACCGCTGATTTACCTAGACCAGGACATACAAATGACAATGAATTCCACCCCTCCCCGACAATACCAGCAGGGAGTAGGTGAAACATTTTTAGTCGGCATGGAAATTAATTTTTTATAATATGAACTCAGGAGATTAGGTCTCATTTCTAGGGCGGGGTACGTACTTCATAACTGCTCTGACGACTAGAATGGATATGTAGTATCACACAATTTCCATAATCATAAGTACTCGTTTACTGCAAAAATGGCTTTATTGATGATTAAAATTTAATATTAAATGTATTACCAAAACGTCACTTGTCTTGAATCTCATAACATCCAGTGACTGATGAAATCTCGATATGTAAAGAAAAACGGCCCACAAATGCCCTGGTACGGCCGAGAGTGGGGAAAGTCCGTTCTCCCTCTCCAAATGCTCTCACATGGCCACGCGTATATAGCCTGTCAGGGAAGTCCTACTCACTGCTTTCTCGTGGCGGGGGTGTTGCTTACGAAATTGAGAAGACGAAGAGCGAATATTCGGCGCCTTAACTGGGTTGGTGAACACGGAGGATCCTGAGAGAACAAATAGCGCATGAATCAATCGTTGGTCACCGACTACTATGGGACTGCATCTCCTCACAATGCTCCACTGCCTTGTGGATCAGACCTTTAGGTCAAAGGCTCCGGGTGTGGCCCCCTAAGAAAACCACCTGCTTCAGTCTGGGCACCTGGGCAGTATCACAGCCCTCACACAAATCTCATTTGATTTGTGAGGCGCATATTTATCTGGTGCTTCCTTGTACCAATATTTATGTGTTTAAATAAATAAATAAATAAAAGATATACTACTCAGCTACCTAAAGTAGACAGTAGGGTTCGGACCTAGGGATTAGTGGTTGAATTACAAGTGCTTTAAATACTGGGCAATTACATCAAGAATTATATAACATGGAATCATCTACAACCTATTAACTGATCATTGCAACCAATTCAATTACATAGTAGATCAGATAATACTTGAAATGCTCAATTAAACCATTTGTCATTGTGGTGTTTGGTGATGGAGACTTGAAGATCCCTGAGATACCACTCATTGTCTTGGGCGTTTTGGATATGTTATATCGTATGGACTCGTAATTTATATGAACGCCAATTTAGAGAGGAGTGGATTTTACTGATCGGCCGCAAATGATGATTGAAATCGTACAAGCAGTCTTGGGTGCTATTCGGTCCTTCCTAACTGCCTAGCCCAGCCAGTTGAGTCCAGAACACAAATAACAGCCTCGGAAATATGAATCATTATTTACAAGCATACTGCGTTTTTATACAAACCAAAGTAATCAATAAACTGATTATAACTCAAGAATCGTATGATCATAAATCAAAGATCAAAATAATAGAAAACACGAATATGAATATTTTAGTTACGTAACAACTGTACAATAAGAAATAGTCATAATACATTGATCGATAAATAGTCCTTAGAGTTATCATTCATAATTCACCAGGGGATATAACACCTCCCCTTTTTGAGAAATCCGGAGTTGACATCCGGATTTTTAATTTATCGAATTCATCCCCCCCCCACGAAAGACTGTTGGATCCTCATGAACCCAAGTTACCATTATTGTGACATTATTTAAAACATATTCGTCGTATTTAACTGAGAATCCACGAGAACTTATTAGATCGTGAGGATCGACTACATTCGATTTGAGGTCACCAGCGTCTGATTCTTCTGAAACAGTTTCCTTGAATTTACTCGGAACCTCATTAGTAAATAATGAATCATTAGGATAATCAGTATCTATGAAAGTTGTATTGGATTCTTGATTATCATTTAATGCATCCGATATTTTTCTCCCATTTTTATAAGAGATTTGAACTGGAACATATGAATCAGCAAAATAATCGGGATCTGGCAGAACAATTAAATAATCTTGATCATTAGATTCATAAAAAAACTTTTTTGCATCATGACTGGTTTGATTTGGCGCCACTGTATTCAATATACTGCCCGATTTGTTCCCCGTTTCTTCGTGGGCGGGTACTACAGTAATTCCATGAGCATTTAGCAAAACATTGTCTTTCTGTAAACAGGTTGATCCACTGTTTGCACGTCCGTTTTCGGGGTTAATAGGACTTGGACCGTGTATAGGGCATGTCTCTGAAACAGGCAGCACCGGACTACTGGGCTGATCATGTAGGACTGTTATTGCTTCGTTTAATTTACTGTTTGTCATGGATTCATTGAGGCTTTCACTGGTATATTCATTTGTTCTGCAATCGACTTCCAGTTCTGTACGCAATTTAGAAATCAATGCGTCAACTTCCGTTGCACCCCCAAAGCATGGGTGATTCAGCAGCGTCGCGTGTAACTTGTCAATGAAATCCAACTGACTCTTTTTAAAACGCTGCTCTTGTCTCTGAATTAGCAACTGAAATTGATCGGAAGTTAAAGCCATTTTTTTTACCCTGTCGTCAGTTGTTATATCGTATGGGCCCGTAATATATATGGACGTGCAATTGGAGATGTAGTGGATTTTACTGATCGGCCGCAAATGATGATTGAAATCGTACAAGCAGTCTTGGGTGCTTTTCGGTCCTTCCTAACTGCCTAGCCCAGCCAGTTGAGTCCAGAACACAAATAACAGCCTCGGAAATATGAATCATTATTTACAAGCATACTGCGTTTTTATACAAACCAAAGTAATCAATAAACTGATTATAACTCAAGAATCGTATGATCATAAATCAAAGATCAAAATAATAGAAAACACGAATATGAATATTTTAGTTACGTAACAACTGTACAATAAGAAATAGTCATAATACATTGATCGATAAATAGTCCTTAGAGTTATCATTCATAATTCACCAGGGGATATAACAGGATACATCTCAAAAGACGTTAACACAACACCAAACCTAAATCAAGGTCTTTTATTAGGTTAGCTCTAATGACTACGTGTTGGTAAATATCTACACCTTTTTGTAGGAACCTTCGCTATGTGATAACGACTTTGATATTGAAAACCTCGCCAATTAAAACTCCTATTCAGAGGATGAATTAATCTGAATATCAAACAAGGTTAACAAATGCAATACTCTTACCTCTAATTGATGGTGGTTTTTCCATGTGCAATGGCGAACTCGATGATGATACTGTTTTGGTATTGTTTTCAGTTAAGCAACTGATGTTTGGTTCTTTCTTTTCAGTTGATAAACTATGTTGTTCAACCATATTATCACTATCGTTATTACCATCATTATTATCAGTAGTTATTACAGGGATATTTGATAAATGTAAGGTTTGTAGTGTTCGACAGTTGGATTCTTTAGAATTTCGTAACCATGCGCATACAGCACGAAATATTTCAATCTCAGAGGCACAGAAACTATCACGAGATAGTAAACGTTCGACGGATGACTGGAATAATAGCAAACGATATAATTTAGCTAATTCTAAGTCAATATAAAATAGAACTGATGACTTAATGATTGAGATATTTGATCATTGGGGTTGCGACCTCGAATTCCACTTCAGCTACTAGAAATCTGAACACTTAACTCTTAGCACAAGACGCTTCATATGAACTCAAATGCGACCATTGAGTTACAATAAAGCTTTAGAACTTAAATGTGAATATACCAAACGTTTCTGGTGGGTGTAATACTCAGAAGGAAAACATTATATTCATGTATAAATGGTGAACCCTAATTAAAATAAATACCATGGCTGAACTTTATTAATCAATACAAAATTCTTTAAGTCGCTCATTGTTATGCCTGAAACTAAATCGATTCCGCGGTAACGAACGAAAACCAAATGACACAATGACACGATAAGCTATTCTAATCTGTTGTCCCAGGCCCCGCTAACTAGATGAAGAAGTCCAAGGCAAGTAGGGGAATATATATGTATTCCGTAAGCAGCCGGGTACAAGCAATCAAATAAGGGAAAAAGTCAAGCGCATTTATACAGTAACAAATTGTCCTTGAGCACCATTAGTAAATAGCACACATAAAGAAACAAAGGACCAATAGCGGTTAAGATAGTTTACAGGTGGGAAATATGACGTGAAGGTAAAAGAGCGCTTTTGGCGCGAAAACAGCTAAATTCAAATTTTCAAAATAAAACTACAAGATTAGGCCATTTACCAAGTAAGTTCTGGGGATTTGACATCCCCAACACCTCCCCTTTTTAGTAACGGACATTCTTTGGGTCCACCTGCATTCTAACTGTCTGTCGCCGTTGGCGCAGTGACCATCTTCGGGACCGTAGATCGACCTTTTGATCTTCTTCATGCGTTGGGACTGCCGGCAGATTAAATGTATCCAATAGTACGTCCAGCGGAATCTTTACTTCGGTCGATGGGCGCTCTGGTGTTAACCGCTTGCGTAGTTGATTTCGATGTCTGGTCCATCTGTCCGTTCCTACCTCAACCTCATACATGACTTCTCCCATCCGTCTAACCACACGTGCTTCGATCCAAGGGTCACGATTTGCTCTGTAGTCCCGAGCGAATACTGGGCATCCAACGTTGTACGTGGGTAGCTTCCGGGACGTGGTTTGTATTAGTGGTGGTGTGGATTTCGGCAGCATCAAGTTGTGAATGGTCCTCAGCCGTCTTCCCATGAGGATCTCTGCGGGGGACTTCTGCTCCGGCAGCGTGTCGTTGGGGGTCGTTCTGTAGGCAAATAAAAAATTCTGCAGTGTTTCCACTGGCGTCCCCTCCCCTTTTGACTTAATCAGAGCCCTCTTGAACGTATCCACGAACCTTTCCGCTTGCCCATTCGATTGTGGGTGGTAAGGTGGGGCGCGAAGATGCCTGATGGTTAGGCGTTTGCAGAACTCTTGGAACTGCGCCGAGGCGAACTGCGAACCGTTGTCGGATACAATCACTTCCGGTAATCCGTTTCGTGCGAACAACTCAGTCAAATGTTTCAGAGTCTGGGTGGTCGTTGGTGGAGTGACGGGAACAATCTCCGGCCATTTTGAGAAGGCGTCGACCACGACAAGATATGTGGTTCCGTTGACTGGACCGGCAAAGTCGATATGTATCCTAGACCAGGGATGCTCAGGCTGTGGCCATGGGACCGGCGGTACCTTCGCATTGGACTTTGCAGCTTGTTGACACTGAGCACATTTGTTTACTAGATCCACGATATGCTGGTCCATGAGGGGCCAGTAAGCATAGCTTCTGGCGATGGATTTCATACGCTTTATGCCTGGATGACCAATGTGGAATTGCTTCAGCACCCTCGGTCGTAGGGATTCTGGCACGACCACTCTATCTCCAAACATCAAGCATTCATTTACGACACATAATGAGTCACGACGATGGTAAAGCTGCTTCATGTCACCGTCAAGTTCAGTTGATGGCCAGCCATTGGTGACGTAGTTCATCGTTTTCTTAATGACGGGGTCGTTTCTGGAAGCAATTTGTATCTCAGATTCTAAGACTGGCAAAGCACGAACAGCGGTTGTCAGGTAGCATTGCGCGTGGTCTTCTGTCGAAAGAGAAGCGATAACGGCAACTTCATCGGTCGTAGAGTGTTCGTTGATGAGTCGTGACAATGCGTCTGCTTGACCAAATTGTTTGGTGCGTCGATACTGAATGTCAAAATCATACCCCAAGAGGATCAAAGCCCATCGTTGGAGACGGTTTGCAGAGTGGGCCGGGACGCCAGATTTCGAACCAAAAATTGCGAGAAGGGGCTTGTGATCCGTAAGGAGTGTGAACCTCCGACCGTACAAAAATTTGTGGAACCGCCGCACCGCAAACACCAGGGCGAGAGCCTCCTTCTCTATCTGACTATACTTCCTTTCTGCCGGGGTCAGTGTTCGGGATGCGTGCATGACAGCCTTCTCTGTTGCGTCTGGAAACTGATGAGAAATGACGGCTCCTACGCCATACGCTGAGGCATCTGCAGCTACAATGATTGGCATGCATGGATCGTAGTGCGTTAATAACAATTTCGAGCTGATGATGGACTTCAGTTTACAGAATGCTGCGTCACACTCTTTAGTCCAGTTCCACGTACTGTTCTTGCTCAGTAGGCCATTCAGTGGGGCACGAATGTCATGCATTGAAGGGACGAACGCGGCATAGTAAGAGACCAGTCCCATGAAGGAACGCAGTGCGGAGATATTCGTGGGTGTGGGCATCTGTCGTATCGCTTGGACATTTTCAGGATCCGGTCTGCGGCCGTCAGCATCAAAAATAAACCCCAAATACTTTACGGACCGTAATAAAAACTGGCATTTCTCAGGTCGTAACCGGAACCCGTTTTCACTAATGCGTTTCAGTACCGATGTCGTTCGCTCATGTAGCTGTTCTAACGTTGCGGCAACAATTAGAATGTCGTCAAGGTAAGCCGCGACTCCCGGGATGCCCGATAAGATAGTATCCATTAATTGTTGGAAAATAGATGGTGCAGTCTTGACACCGAATGGTAAACGGTTGTACTGAAATAACCCACGGTGAGTGTTGATAGTAAGCAGCTCCCTAGATGCTTCGTCTACTTCAACTTGCAAATAAGCATCAGCAAGATCCAGTTTTGCGAAGAATTTTCCCCCATTCAGCATCGTAAACAAATCTGCCGGAACTGGTAAGGGATAGTGGTGTTGTTCAAGGGCTGCATTTAGACCTGTAGAAAAATCAGCACATATTCGTAAGGTGCCGTTTGCTTTCTTGATGACCACTATCGGTGCTGCCCAGGCGGAGTAAGAAACGGGAGTAATTACTCCTTGTTGTTGGAGGCGGTTTAATTCTTCATCTACTGTTGGTAACGTCGCATAAGGCACGGGTCTTTTGGGACGAAAGACAGGCTTAGCTCCAGGTTTCAAACGAAGCGTTGCTTTTAAGGTAGAACACTGTCCCAAACCAGGCTGGAAAATCGATGAAAACTGCGCCATTAGCTTCCTGGTATACGATTCAGTGCCATGAGGTTGTGATATCATGTGGCATATGGTATTTAGTGGGACATCAGCCAATTTCAGTTGATCGAACCAATCCCGGTAAATGACGACTCCTGGAAGGTCACTCTACATTCCAATTGTCCTTCTAAGTGTAGGAAATTACCACATGCGGTACGAGGCTTTTTAGTTGTTCGCTGCAGGCTTGGGCGACCCATTTTGATCCAATTTTTGTGAGAGAGGATGGTGACGTCTGATGCGGTATCTATTTGCAATCTGGTGATGAACTCTGACAAGAAGATGCCAAGCTCAAAGAAGAGGTACAGGGCTTTGGAACCGTCTTTTTGGTATTACTGGATCGATTTGGTGTGCTCTTAAGGCAAAACCCGTCCTTGTGGCCAACAACCTTGCACTTCCTGCATCGATGTTGCTTAAATGGGCAATTCCTTACGTAGTGCCATGCACCACAATGCCAGCAAGGAGTGGAGGGATTTGTTCTGGTCTGTCGAATTGGGCTGAAATGAGTTGGACTGAATGCAGCGGGAGCGCACTGATTCTGGTTAGTTGTCTTTTGGATTACTCGTACTTCCGATCGACTAGACCCACCACTCTCAACCATCGACGTGTCTCGTTGTAGATTTACTAGGCGTTGATATTCATTAGCCATGTCATTTAGTGTGAGTTTTGGATTTTGGTCCAATCGACATAGTAGTCGCGTTCTTATGTCACTGAACTTCTGGGACTGAAGGCTGCAAATGAGGATAAGGGCTTTGAACTGGTCTTCAGATAAAGACTTTAACCGGAACCGTTCGCATTCAAGGTTAACGATGCCCACATGCGTAAGGAAGTCATCGTCTTCGTTCATAACCAGCTTCAAACATCGGTAACGGGTGTTAAACAATGATGAATTGTCCCCAAAATGTAGGCTTAGTGTCTGGACTGTGTCTGCGAAAGAGCGATCACGTGGATTCAATGGCAGGATCAAATTGCAGTACCTGTCCAGCTCACTTGCACCCAACTTCCGAAGTAGCAGTCGTACCTTCCAAGCATCATCTTGATTAGCAAAATCAAATTTAAATAGGTCTTCATAACGCCGGAACCACATGTCAAAAGTAACGTTTGCATCAGGATCATAATGAAACTCAGCAATACTATTTGCGACGCCGTCTACTGATGGTGCTGTGGTTGCATTAGCTGTGCTAGGCTGTGAAGGGGGCGAAACTTTCATGTCTGTCAGCATTTGTATGAGCTTCAGCTGCTGTTCAAGTAATGATTCGAGTTTAGAAGGATCCATGTTTCCAAACCACCGTCGCCAATTGTTATGCCTGAAACTAAATCGATTCCGCGGTAACGAACGAAAACCAAATGACACAATGACACGATAAGCTATTCTAATCTGTTGTCCCAGGCCCCGCTAACTAGATGAAGAAGTCCAAGGCAAGTAGGGGAATATATATGTATTCCGTAAGCAGCCGGGTACAAGCAATCAAATAAGGGAAAAAGTCAAGCGCATTTATACAGTAACAAATTGTCCTTGAGCACCATTAGTAAATAGCACACATAAAGAAACAAAGGACCAATAGCGGTTAAGATAGTTTACAGGTGGGAAATATGACGTGAAGGTAAAAGAGCGCTTTTGGCGCGAAAACAGCTAAATTCAAATTTTCAAAATAAAACTACAAGATTAGGCCATTTACCAAGTAAGTTCTGGGGATTTGACATCCCCAACACTCATACCATCATTTCCATGAAGTATCGAGAAGTTAGGAATACAATACTTCTTGCCTGAAAACACAACTTTCAGTGTGTATTAAGCTGTTACATCGTTTGGTCGAGTGATACTAACACTTCATGAACAATATAATATTGAAAATAGGACGTATCTACGCTATCACATAATAGTTCAGATATGTAAGTATATACGTTAGATTGGTAAATAGAAATTACAAGTCCGTATGAGGAGGAACACCATGAAGAAAGTGCAAGCGAAAAAGCCTTAGCAAAATAAAATACAAAACTGAGTGTAGCAATCTTTGCACATATTACTAAAGTTCGGGTTAACAAAACAGTTAGGGTTTTTTTTTGATAAGCAAGACTGGTCAATCCACACACTTATGGGACATTTAAGTGAAATGCATGAATTTTGTCAGACGATTGATGAAAATGAACAATTTAAGCGATCAAAATAAATCAAAATAAATAAATCCATGATTGATTGTGATAGATTAACATGTTAATTTATTTGATATCGATGGTGATTAGTTACACAGTTGAAGTTTATTCTTAAATACTGTGGCTAAAGATATTTTGAACTAGTAAAGGTTGAACACTGTCTTTATGGCTTTGAACAGTACCCGTCCAAATAAATTCTTCAGACAAATCAGAAATTCATTACAGTATAAAAAAACTGATAAGACAAGCACGAAAAATGTGTGAACAATGTATAAGGACATATGCACAGACCCAATGAACTGACCTGTGATAGCCTTAGGAATCGTGGATTGTACAAAGGAGCAGGTGCAAGGCAGTCTAAAAACCGTAGGCAAGCCGTTATGAGACTATCCAGGTTATACATTATAGCCATATCGTAGATACACCATACATTCTTCACAGAAAGGGAATGTGTTAAGTAAGTAGATATAACAGTTTCCAGACTACGGAAATTATATTGATGAGCGAGACACAGGATACTAAGGGTGAGCTGAACATGTAAAAAAAAGTTATAAATATCTAAAATGAACTGAAGTGCTAGTAAATAATAGAAAGTAATAAAAAGCCAACTGTATGAATAACTGATACTGATATCAATCACTCTTCTAGTTTGTATGTAGCTATGACTTACTTATCCATAATGATAAAGTCTTTTTTGGTGTCAGATATTAGATGAAAAGCAATTTAATCAAGTATTGAAACAAACTATGAGTTATCTCAACAAAAATCCAAATTGTGCTCATATGCAAGCGAGATATGTCTTCCAACCAAAGAACGAGTTCACTACGGAGCAGTTCGCTCCGATCTAATTTGAAGCATTTCTCGCGTATTTTAGGACCAGCCAGTAAACAATGCCGGGATTAGGGATAGGGTGCCAATTAGGAGTGACAACTCGATTGAAAAGGTAGCAAACCATCAACTGAAGTGGTCGGGACATGTGTTAGTTATGCCCATTCGACAAGTTTTCTGGAGTAGAGGTAGGCTGGTAGAAAGCTAGGAGCAGTCGAGCCAAATAGCATCAGTCCATGAAGTCAGTCGGACCTTTTGGTAGAGGCACACTACTTGGTTGGGGTCCGCGTTATTATCATAACTAATGGTTAGAGACTTTGAATGACATGGCTTAAAATCATTTGCGATAGCGCAGGTGCATCTGTTCTTTGCCTTCCCCAATTTTTGGGAATCTAAAACCTTGATAAGTTTTTCTATTTTCATTAATTTACACTCCTTTCTCGAATCGTATCTCCGATTCCCAATCTTCCCTATTGCCAATGATACTGTTACTACCTTTACCATTATGGAATTTGGCCCAACAAGGTATGGCAACTTGGACCGATGTACATTGACACCAGGTTCTACGTCGACTGACCTACTATGCTGACGTAAAATATACATATTAATTAAAATGCGCAAAGCAAACAAGATTGGTGAGACTATGATTTATGCGCGAACTATTCAGATATAAAATAAGAGGTTCTGGATTTTGGCGCCAAATTCCCTTATCCATTTGGCTAAATAGCGTTTCGGAATTTAGCTTGTGTCAATTTGAAATGAAAACCCTAAATGGAGTTCCTAACTCAACCATCAATTGTAAACCATAATTCTAATTCCTCACACTGGTTTGTAACGCTCATTTAGTCCTAGTCAGTAGGTGTACATTCCCAAGGTCACTAGAGTCGCCTACAGGTCGCCCATAAATCACACATACCAACATAACTTCTTAAAATATTTATTTCATTCGAAAAGTGATTAGGGTTTTATGGCCCAAATACATGGCATTTGAGTGTGTACAATAAACGCAAAAATAGTTCACTACACATCACAAACCTAAAAAAACTACTGTTTGACCCTGATGATGCTCAAAGTGGACAAGGTAGATTAACATGAATTACCTTATGGTTGAGTAAACGTCTTCCTGATGATTATCAAAGAATAGGGAACTGAACCATTGTCTACCTGTCTGACTATTAAATTATTAATATCTAACCTACAGATTACAACGCAATTATTGCGATCAGAATTAAAAAGTAGAGATTCATACGCTATCAATAATAACTTTGCGAGCAAGTACTGAATAAAAGCGCACAATTTTATCTAGATATAGGTATGCATGAATATATATATATATATATATATATATATATATATATATATATATATATAAACCGACATAGACCTTATAACATATAAAGGAAACATTCTAAAGGAAAAAATCAAAGACACAAAATGACCAGGTAAAGTAGCTTATCTGTTTTAATTTAGCAAAAATAAGAGGAATAACAAACCTTAGGTTTTGTTAATTTCATCTGACCGGTATATATGTAATTTAGGATGCTTTTGAAAGCAATCACATTAATGTTGTTTAGATAGACGACAGATGAAGATGACTCAGCAAGTCCTCCATAAAACAACGCTCTAAAGTACTCAGAGCGAGCTGCCAATATAGCTCTGTGAGCAGGGAAACGAGTATTCTGGACAACTAGAACAACATCACTAAATGTTTCATTTCGATAGAGCTGAGAGATACACGGAATAATTTCTTTTGAGTGATTAATTTCGTACACCAGGGGATCATCCTGTACTGCATTAGTAAATGAGACTCCAGAACGAACCAACCCTTGGTCGGACATTTTCGTGACCTTCGAATGTATCAACTAAGTTAGAGTTACCACTTCTTTGTAACACTTCAAACCCCAAAACGAAAGCCTTGTAAAGCAGAATTAAAAATTTCTTTATTAATCTGGGTCTGGATAGTACATTACCGGTCTTGGATATACAGAGGTATGATTCCTGTTATACTCCTTCTAGAAAACAAAAGCCAAGAAGAATTGTAGAAGAGGTAGAACAATCTTCCGCTTCAATCTCATGTTTACCTACTATCAGTGGACCGCTGATACCTTTAGATAAGGACCTATGTGCAAGAAACAAACATAAGCACTAGGTGAATTGATAGATTAGTATGAAAATTTGTTTTGATACCCCAGAAATACACCATTGTTCCTATTGTAGCTGTAAATAATTCCTTAAAATCAATAGCTCATTAAGTGTTCGACATTGGATGCTGACCACGTTGTTTAAGTGGATTTGTTTAACTGAAGGCTTTCGGTCATGCATCCATACCAGATCACGTTGCAACACGGCGTGGGACACAGCTCCTACGTTACAATAGCCAGTTAAGAACGAAGTGTCTCGATATATTGGTAACGTATCAAATATATCTTTCCTGTCTCTTCTCGTCTGACTTCTGGTTTCTACTTGACTGGGAACGATCGAATATGGAAGGTGCTACCGGCAGCTAGTTGTAAAACTAGAATATCCGTCGTATCTTCACTATTTTAGTGACTGTAAGTATGTTACCTGAGCCAGTTCAGCTGTCAGTGAATTCCAAAAGCTGTCATTTCCAGTACTAGTAGAACTAAGCTGGCCAATCAGCCTTTTGAAAGATTTAGCTGAAGGTCCCATGACTAGGAGCCCCATAACCTGTCAAGTATTTTTAACGAGTACGTTTGTGTTCCATACGGAATGAATACTATCTAAAGTGTAGACGTTTTGCAGAAGCTTTTCAGTCGTCTGATAGGTGAAGGGAGTTGTGAGATATGGGGCAGACTATAATTACATCTCTCAATCCTCCTGTACAGCACTGCATGTTAATAAGGAGCCACGAGGCGATGTGAAAAGAGTTTGACTTCTAGCCCTAGTAAAATTTTGATTTTCCATTCATCTCCAAGTGAGCATGTCCTTCTGAAAAGGATGTCGGATTTGCAGATATTTAAGAGGGTAAATGGTAAACTTATTGTTCCTTTGGTACTATGTCTCGGTAGTTGAAGAGCTTTTAGAATTGTGGAGAGGTATACTCTTGGTTATGTTTCTTCCAGATTTGATGTGTGGAACCATAAGATCGCAATTGGGGCCGGTTGTACAGTAGTACCCAAAGAGGACTCCATTAGCACTTAAAAGGCTAAGATAGAAGTTGATTTCTTGAGAGGTTTATCAAAAGAGTGTGCCATAGTCTCTTTGGGGGGTAAAGTTCTTAATATTATTGAGGTTCGCATAAACATTTTATCAGGGTTCATTCATGTTCTGTCCCAAAAAGGTATCCCTTTATTTATGAATTAGTAATGATCACTATGAATCATCATTAAGATGTTTATGAGATATAAGGTTGATCATGACCACATTACTTGTACCGACCACATATTCTCCTGGAACATAATAAGCACTCGGTAAAAATTACGGTCATGTCATGAACTGACCTGGCTGATTGATTCGGGCTCATAAGTGAACTGATACAAAATAGATTACGTTGCACGAGTTGTTGTATTCACGCTGTTTTCCAAGCCACGATCAATAACTTGCAACGGGTTTACAGATGAGATAGTGAAGCAATAAGGTTTGCACAGTGAACAATACGTTCACCAGTAGGCATAGTAGCGAATTATAGCGTAATTACGACAACAAAGCTTGCCAGACCATCTAAATAGAATATCTATAAAACGACCCAATGACCTCTTTGTATCAGTTCTATTTTGAGACATTAAGTAGACGTTTAGCGGAATCATGGTTTCTACTTTGTATTCTTATGAGACTAAGGCTGACACTTAGGAAATTCATGATAAAGGATTTGAGTTTCCATAGTAAACAGAGATGAATATCAAGAGGTTCGTTGCTTTTCTTACGTTTGGATTATTTTGTACTCATGGATCTTCACAGATCTCTGGGGCAAACAGCGCTGACTTTTTAATATTAAGACCCAGTTTAGTCGTTTTTGGAAGCCCCATTGTCTCCTGTAATCTCAACCTTGACCTAACTATGATGGACTAAATGCGACTTCAGGCATTCTATGGTTACTGTCTGTCTTAAAATCGGATGAATTGAATGTAAATAAATTGAATATTGAATCTTTGAAGATCAATGAAGATGATAGTTTCAATGCAGACTATTCCGAGAGAAATGTAATTCCGGGCGATGCTAACGATGATAGTGACAGTATTGAAGATGATGATACAGACGAAGAACAAGACGAGATTCACTGTAGATCTCATCATTTCCAACAACAAAACAATGATCAAATTCAGACACCAACTATGGACATGATGTCTGATAATTCAGGTATTCTTCTACTTAAATTTTGGCACATTAATTGTTGCGACGTTTTATTATGATGGTAGTAACAATGGTAGTAGTAACGACAAGAGTATTTGAATTATAGTATTAACCAGTAATTTCAGAAACAACGCAATTTATTCAAGAAGTATCAGATGAACGCAAACGAATGTATTGTATTTGGAATTCAAAATAAAGCAGTCATCAATAAAAAGGAATTATTGGTTCAAATACACATCAAAACCCCCACAGCTGAAATGAAGATCCAGATTTCTGAGATCAATCGTACCTCTTCCCTTTAAGTTCATCACGTGTCTACCCGATTGTGTAATATTCGTAGACTCTGTGCAATCTAGAATACAACAGTGAGGACGGCCCACGGGTGAACTTGGGGAAGCTCTAAGAAGCTCAAAAAGAGCCGAACATATTCCATTCAATAAGCTCTCGGAAGAATATTCCAGAATCACTACGTGTAGCTTCCCTATTGGATAACTATAATGATGATTTCGTTCTTACTAAAAGCTATAAATACGTGACAGTTTTGTGCTATAATCGACACTGTTTGGAATAACATTTCTTCCACTTGTCTTCTATCTTCTCATTTACGACTTCAGAAGGTTCTAGTGTTCGAGTGCTCAAGTCATACGCGGCATACTAAGAATCTGAGTTCAAGATATAACACCACCAATGAAAGCGATGACGACGATAAAGATCAGTTCTACGAGAGGCTGCAATCAATCATAGTGAAGTGCTTAGGAAATGACCTGATCTTCCTGATGAGAGACCTAAACATCGGAATGCATAACACCGGGTATGAAGATATCATAGGACGATGTGGAATGACTGGGAGAAGGGAACGAGAATGGTAACATTTTAAAGTTTATGTTCATTCAAAACAAAATGGTTATAAGCTACATGGGTCTCGTCGGATCACACTACACAGAATCAGATCGATCATATTTGCATCAGTAAAAATTCAGAACATCTATGGAAGATGTGAGAACGAGGGGATGAGCCGACATAGCTACAGATCACCACTTATCTTCTGGTTGCCACGATGAATTTGAGGTTAGAGAAGTACTAGACGACTGGATCAACAGCATTACAAAGGTTCAATACATTCTTCCTTCGACATACTGACAAACTCAACGAATTCAAGTTAGCTCTCAGCAACACGTTTCAAGCCTTACAAGATCTGCTTACAGAAGAAACTAATATAAAGGACAATTGGAAAGGGATCAGAGAAGCACTAAGTTTAACGTGTCAGGAGGTTCTGGGTCTCAAGTACAATCGTCATAAGGAATGGATTTCTATGGAAACCCTGGAAAAGATTCAAGAAAGGAAGAACAAGAAGACAGCAATTAACAACAGCTGAAGGATAGAGAAAGTCGAGTCACAAGCTGAGTACCGAGAAGAAGACAAGTAAATAAAGGATAGAATTATAGCTAACAAGCAGAAATACGTGGATGACCTATCAACGATTGAGGAGAAAGCTGCAACAGGCAACATGAAACGACTACATGACAACGAAGAAACTGACAGGGAAATATAATGAACCAGAGAGACCGGTCAAAGACGAAGAAGGCAAGCATACCACTGACATTCGAGAACAAGAAAACAGATGGATATGCCACTTTGAGGAACTCTTGAGTAGACCAGCTCCACTGAATCCACCGGACATCGATACAGCCCCTACAGACCTTCCTATAGATGTCACTCCACAAACGACTGAAGAAATCTGGATGGACACGAGATAAATCAAGTGGGAAGGCAGTCGGACCTGGCAATATAGCAGTCGAAGTACTAGAGTTAAACATAAAAGCAACTGCAAACACGTCCCGCGTTCTGTTCAGGAGGTTTTTTGAGGAGGAACAAGTGCCACTAGACTGGAAAGAAAGACAACGCATCAAGATATCAAAGAAAGGAGATCTGAGTGAGCGTGAGAACTACAGAAACATCATATTGCTATCGGTACCAGAAAACGTTTTCGACAGAGTACTGTTGAACTTAGTGGAACATTTAGTAGGTGCCCAACTTCGAGATCAACAGACTGGATTTCGTGAGAATTGATTGTATATCACCTAAACCGTGACATTATGGACCACTGTTGAGCAATCGATTGAATGCAATTCGTCACATATACATCAACTTCATTGACTATGAAAAAGCATTTGACAATGTGGATAGGAGAACCTCATGGAACTTTCTTTGACATAATGGAGTGAGTAGCTGAGGAAATCGTCAACATCTTAGGGAATTCATACGACGAACTACACTGAAATTGGTGCATGGAATACAGTTGACAGATGCATTCCAAGTGTGGACGGGTGATATTCAACGCTGCTTATTCTCAACTTTGTTTTGACTGGTGGTTGATTATGAAGACCTCGATATCTGAGAGGTATCTTGGAATACCATGGACAGATTGGACGCTGCTTGGTGGTTTTGACTTCGCAGATGACAATGCTTTTATATCCCATACACACTAGCAATCGAAGGTGGAGACAGTTATTTTAGCAGTGTAGATAAGTCTAAGGAACAAATTACATCAGGAATTGAAGGCAGACATCAAAGAAGTGGATAATATTCGAAATTACAGTAAAGGATTGTCCAGAACGAGGTTCAATTGAGAATCCTAGTGAGCGGCCTATTCTCCTCCACGAAGGGTAACAGGAGTAAGTAATTAAGTT